GAAACTACCAACCATTCTGTATGAGAAAGATGAAACTTTCTACTCCCTCAAAATATTTATACCCTAAAGAGACTTCTGGCTGGTGGCAGCAGAGCAGAGTCAGGAAGGACAGGTTCTGTGGGGGAGGGGCTGAAACCCCTAAGATGCTCCTCTCATGAAGCTACACCAGAGCTCTGGATCAAGCATAAGGGTCAGGGCGTCAGTTTCCCATAACCATCAGTGGAAAAATCAAGGTATAAAGGAAAACATTGCATTTTAGAAATTGGCATGGGATTCCCTCTGTGGCCATCCTGCCCAGGCAGCAGGCAGTCAGAGGGCAGGACTATAGACAGACCTGCACAGGGAACTGGCACTAAAAGCAGAGAAGGGACATTTGCAAACAGAGGTGTGGAGGGATTCTACATGTTTTTTTCCCTTTTCCTGTCATGCCTTCTTTGCCAGCCCGGGCGCCTTCAGGTGAGTGGGTGTGTACCCCCAAAAAAGTCCAGCATTGAGACCACAGCTTTCTCACTGCACAGAGAGAAATAGCCCTATCAGTCCAAGAGCAAAAGCTTTGGCTGCTGCTTCTGACATCTGCCTGTGGGTGCCAGCCCTAAAGTTAATTTGTGTGGGACCATTTACCCCTGCCTATCCAGAAAAGAATAAAAGCAGGTTTGGCCTAACAGACAAACCATACGAACAATCTGTAAAACCCCAACATGGAAAAACGCAACTATTTCAAGAATTACGCTGTGCACACACAGACACTTAACTGACCTTCAGAGACAAAAATAGTAAACAATCTTTCCCCCATTAATTTCTCAATATCTATTTGTGCACCTCTATGGTGGTGACTAAAGGAGGGGCTTGAGCGAGTGAAAACACCAACCCACTACTGGAGGCTTATATGGTGTACACACACAATTTTATTTTTGTTTCAAAGTGGAGGTTCTTGTCTCTGCTTTTATATTGCTTCCACTTTTGGGCCTTTTGATAACATATTTTTCCTGGAGATGGGAGCTTTATCTCCCTATGCTACCCAAGAAGAAATAGCAATCATGGCGATATAACCAAGCTACCAGCATACCCCATAAAATTCCACCATTGAGACAAGAGCCAACAACAGCTGCTAAACATTACATGAGAAAAGAGAAGATTAACTCCTAATCATATCCACCAGGAGACACCTAGTAAGCTTAATAACACGACAACAAACATCCATTTAAGCATTAAAAAACCCACATAGCTACAGGAAATGACAAACAAAAGATCTCAAACACAACAAACTATCTCAAAACATGTCCAAAAAAACAGAAAAGAGTAACTGACACAAATGTGCTGGAGAGAGACAAAGGCTCCACAGAAGAGGAAGAGCAGATTTTGGATTTGCCTGAGAAAGAATTCAGAAGAATGATATGGAAACAAATTCAAAGGCTCTGAAAGGGATGGAGGAAAACAAGGAAGAAGTCAGGAAAGCTCTACAAGAGGAATTTAACAAGAGTGATACAGCTTTGGTAACAATTCAAGACCTGCAAAAAGAGGTCCAGATGATTAATAATAAAATTTCAAAAATGGATAATACAATGAAAGGGGAAAGGAGAAGAATAGAAGAGATGAAAGCCAGAACTAGCGAGCTGGAAGACAAATCTCTCAATACTGCAAGATAGAAGAGCAAGCGGAAAAAAAGATTTAAAAAATCTGAAGAGAGCCTAAGATTCATGTTGGATAATATGAAGAGGAACGACTTAAGAATTATTGGCATTCCGGAACAGGAAGAGTCAGAGAAGTTCACAGAGGAGATAGTTGAAGAACTTCTGGAAGAAAATTTCCCTAACATCTTGAAAGATAAGAAGATAAGCATTCAAGAAGCTGAACGTACCCAGGAAGGATAGACTCCAAAAGAAAGTCACCAAGACATATAATAATCAAGCTCTGCAAAATCAAAGACAAGGAGAGAATCCTAAAAGTGGTCAGGGAGAAGATAAGCGTCACTTACAAAGGCAAGCAAATCAGATCAAGCTCTAATTATTCAGCACAAACCATGCAGGCAAGAAGGCAATGGGGAGATATATACAAAACCCTAAAAGAAAAAACTGCCAACCAAGAGTCGTCTATCTGGCAAAACTATCAATCAAATAGGATTGTGCAATCAAAAAATTCCAGAATAAACAGAATCAAAGAGATTTTATCAAAACCAATCCAGTATTTCAAAACATCCTA